TAACACATCTTCATTCTTTTTACCTCCCCTTCTTCCTCTTTCCTCTAGGTCTTGGTCCCCTTCCCATTTGCACAAGATCTAACTCCCTATTCCCATTATCTGTCTGGTATTCTGCTCTTTAACTTACTTATACTTTGGGTCCGAACCTCTTCCATCATGGCCCACAGCCCTGCACATAACCCCAGTGCTGCTTTATAAGTGACTCGCCTTGCCAAATCTTCAAATTGCCTAAATTGAATAATACTCGTAATCAACCAGATGTTCTGAGAATAGTTAGTTGTTTCCTAGGACATGACATTCACAGTACCAAAACAAAGCGCGTGTTTTCTTGTGTGGTACATTGTGATTCTCTTGGAAAATTCCTGTTGCAGATTTGCAGCTGTTCAGTGTTTGCAAGATGAGGTTCAGGGCTTCCTACACATGGGAGGCCCCGTGGCTTTCTCTAATGCACACTTAAAGCAGAGAAGTCCTCCTCCTGTGGCCGGTACTGGGGAGGGATTCAGAGCACAGCCCTGAGACTGCGGACTCTGTGGGGAAAAGAACACAGATGTGGTCCCCAGTGGGAGCTGAACCTGCTTCAGGTTACGGGTCTGAGCAGGAGCCAAGGAGAGGACCCAGGGAGGTGGCCCTGTTTGGGGGCCGCGCAGAGAGCAAGGAAGCCAGGTGGAGCGAGGCTGTCAAGCCGGGTTTGTAAACAGGAAGAGACCAACTCTCAAGCTGGGAAGAAACGACTCGGGAGCAAACAGGCGACAGGACAGAGGCCGGAGAGGTTCCCAGGATGGGGAGCTGCTCAGGGGATGTGGCCCTGGCAGGACGAGGGGAGAGGATTCAGGGGCCCCGTCCCCCCGGAAGTCCATTCAGAGCAGGGTCCCACGTGTGCCTTCTTGGCTGTGTCACCTTGCTGGCGATCGGGCAGGTGGGCTTTGGTTTTTGCCGGGCACCTTAGAGACCTAGTAAGACCCTGCCTCAGAATTAAAAAGTTGAAAGGGCTGGGGCGGTATCTCAGGGCAAAGGCTGTGGTTTCAATCCACAGTGCTGAGAAAACAAAATGGTCCAGTCCAGTGGCTGAGTTCTTTGGAAGAAGCTGGGCTGGAATGTGCAGTCCACTTGCCTCAGACTCCCAGAGTGCTGTGACTATAGGCGTGCGACGAGCACCAGGCATGGCTTGCACTGAACTTAGGCACCTATTTTATCATGCCATTTCTCTGCTATACAGCGCTTCTTCTCCCTTCAATCTGTAAGTTAAGGTCCAAATCCTTTAAGCAGGCGTGCAGGGATGACTTCCACTTACCCGGCTCCTGACTTCTCACTTCCCTTCATGTCCACATAGGAGGGAGCAGTGAATAGGTTTTGAGGATGTAGACAACTGGAAAGATCCAACGATTCCTCCACAAATGTCAGCCACGTGGGAGAAGAAGGACTGGCACCCAGATTGTCTGATCTGTCCACCCAGCCGCTGCTGGCCTGCCCTGCAGAGTCGCACCCTTCTTTCTAGGCTGGGGAAGGCAGTTGGCAGCCACTGCCCCCTGGGGACATTTCCAGCCGTGAGCCATTCTGTGACCCTCCAAAGCCTAAAAGTTCGGGCCAAAAGTCTGTGATTCCTTTTACAGCTGGCTAACATTTTTTCTTTGTTTTTGTAGTACTGGGGATTGAACTCAGGGCCTTTATACTGAACCACATCTCCAACCCTTTTAAAACATCGCAGTTTAGAGACAGGGTCATGCTAAGTCACTAATTTGCCCAGGCTGGCCTCAAACTTGTGGTCTTTCTGCCTCAGCCTCCTAGAGTGCTGAGATCACAGGGGTGCCCTGCCACTATGCCTAGCTTTGACTAACACTCATCAAAATGCAATCATGTCTTTGTAAGGTGAACTTTAACAGATGTTACTTGAGGGAAAAAAAAACCCTTAAGTATTAAAACAGAAAAAGATACAGAGAAATAGAAAATAAACTGTGACCCAGGAGCCCAGGACTCAGAAAACCCTTGTGTGTATTTAAAATGTGAATGACAAAGCTGGGTGGTGGGGCACACCTATAATTCTAGCACTTGGGAGGCTGGGGCAGGAGGATTGCTGGGAGTTCAAGGCCAGCCTGGGGTGCATAGTGAGTTCAAGGCCAATGTGAACTACATAGGGGAACCCTGTCTCAAAAAGCCAAAAAAGAAAAAAAAATTTTTTTTAATGATAATGATAGTAAATTCAGAGGATGGAGAAAGATTCCAAATGAACATGACTTCTGGTGAGGGGCTGGGAAGAAGCCCTGGTCCTAATAACCCCCTGCACCCGGGATTATCAGGAGGCCCCAGAATTGGCTAACTGCTGGGCCTGTCTGCCTTTGCCCAAGCAGGGGCTTCTTTGCATTAGGGTCCCCAAGGCACCCTGTGCAGACAGCCCTGAGGCCTGTGTCAGCGCCTTTGGCAGCCACAGGGATCCTGTGTCCTTCCACCAGGGACACACGGACTTGAGCCCCAGAGGGTGGGGTGCCCTGGCTGTCGGCGTATGGAGCAGCAAGCACTTCATACTGAGTGTTTATTTGGAGTTGTAGTTCTGTCTGGTCACAAAACAGGGGTCCTTCTGTCCCTGCCCTATCACTCTGCATCCTCTGCAAAAGATGTGAGGAGGTGCCAGGCTTGGTGCCACACCCCTGTCATCCTAGCACTGGGGAGACTGAGGCAGGAGGATCTCCATGAGGCGAGTTCGAGGCCAGACTGGGCTACATAGGGAGGCTCTGTCTCAGACACACGAACAACGCAAGCTGTCTTGTGCACCTGGTGTCGTAGGCAGGGGTTGGCACAGTTCCCTCCTTCTGCCTGGCAAGGTGCTTTGTGAATGCTCCCTCACTGGACATGCAGCTCTCGGGGGGTGGGGTCTCCCTCATCCATCCCAGCCTTTTCCAGGCTCTGGGAGCCCTTTGGTGTTTGTTCCTGGTTATTATTTTTTTATTTCCTTTTCTCCTCCATTCTTGCATATGTGTCTGTCCTTGCGTGCTCAGCCTCACGCTGTAGGAGTTTGCTTTGGCCTCATGCAGCAGCAGGGCACTCTTGTGCCTGCTGTGGAGCTGCTCACTCCTCTGTGCAGAGGAGGCTGGGGAAGGAAGGCCCCCCACCCCTTTACCTGTATCAATTCGGTTACTGGGATTTGGGTAGTGAGAACAAAGAGCTCAGATGGCCACACATTTTATCTTAGTTAGGACTGAATTTGAGAAGTGTGAGTTTGAAAAGTAGGAAGTAGTGGGGTGGGGATGAGCCTGGGGCATTCACACTGAGCTGCACTCCGAGCCCTGCTTTATTTTTATTGACTGACTGATTGCAGTAGTGGGCATTGAACCCAGGTCTACATCCCTAGACCTTTTGTCTTAGTTTTTGAGACAGAATCTCACTAAAGTGCTAAGATGCCCAGGCTGGACTCAAACTTACAGTCCTCCTGCCTCAGCCTCCCAGAGTGCTGGAATTACAGGCATGTGCCACTATATCTGGTTTTTATTATTTTATTTTGATGTGGGGGGGGTCTCACTAAGTCCCTAAGTTACCCAGGCTGGGCTAGATCTTGTAGTCCTCTTGCCTCAGCCTCCCAGAGTGCTAGGATTATAGTATTTCAGGCACAGCTAAGTGCAGGAGGCTTACATCAAGGGGGTGCAGGGTGGATTTAATATCCTCAGATTCAAGGATTTATTTATGCAATGGGCAGGCCATAGCTGGGAGGCCCCGAGGGTCAGTACTGAGCGCAGGGCTGGAGACAGAGCTCTCCCAGGCTTCCCTGGGCTTCCTGGCAGGAGCTTCCTTCCGCTCACATTGGGACCAATAGAAACGCACAGGGCACCCAGAGACCCCTTGCTTCTGCTACTGCTCCAGTATCACAGGACACTGTGACCTCAGTAAGTGAACCCAGCTCCCACACAGCCTGCCGGCCCAGAACTCAGCATCTGCATACCCTGTGCTTCTGAAGGGTGGCTGGGCCAGGGACTACAGGTGAGGACAGGGAGCAGCAGCGAGGGCCTCGCCTGGCTGCTCTCCCTGCTGTGCTGCTCCAGCAGGAACTGGAGGCATCCAGTGCGTCTGCACTGACTGTTTTAACACAAGCTTCTCTTCTGAGGTGGCTCAGGTTTGCACCACGTGCTCGGGTGGAAGGAGATGTCTTACTCAATGCACATGGGAGGGAGGGAAGGAAGGATGGAGGCAGGGGCCTTTGCTGTTTGGAGAGTAGACATAAAAGTTTATGACTGAAAGCAGCGTGTCTGTCCATCAACAGATGAATGGATACAAAGTATGTATTAACACACAGTGGAGTACTACTCTGCCATAAAGAAGGATAAACTTGAGTCATTTGTAAGAAAATAGATGCACCTTAAAACCACAATGTTAAGTGAAATAAATCAGGCATGCAAGCTTAAATATTGCATGGTTTCTCTTACACGAGATACCCAAAGTATAAAGAACAAAATAGAGGACAGGTAATAGGAAAAAGGGAGATAGATCTTTTGCAAAAGGGAAGAGGACCAACAGATGGAGAGAGGTGAAGGGAACATAAAAAGAACCATGTTTCCCCCAAAATAACACCTAACTGGAAAATAATCATCCTTGAAAACTAGAGATCAAAACTGCCAGCCCCATCTACCACCCCTTACCTGCTTTACAGAGTGGCCCCCAAGGAAGAGAACATGCACTATAATCTTCTGCCTGACCCTGGCTCTCACCATGGTAACAGCCAGCACTTTTCCCTTAGGTCTTATTTTTGGTGAAATGTGGAATTAAGATGCGTTACATACAAGTACCCACTTCCCGTGGTGAATGTGTCCAGTATGTCCTGCAAACGTGGACTCATTAAAATAAAAATGGAAATAAAACCATCCGGGAGGTGGGGGATCTGCCCATAGACCCACATCAGTGACCCGGAACGACTTCTCTATAGACCCTGGCCCCTTCCTCAGTCAGGCCTGTGACCCAGAAGTGGTCCCACGGTGGCCACAGGCCAGAGCTCTGACTGCGTGCGACTCTCATTTCAGACTGCTCTGCGATGACCACAGCGCGGTACCGGCCCACCTGGGACCTGGCCCTCGACCCGCTGGTGTCCTGCAAGCTGTGCCTCGGGGAGTACCCAGTGGAGCAGATGACCACCATCGCCCAGTGCCAGTGCATCTTCTGTACCCTGGTTAGTCCCAAAGCCAGCAGGAGCGCTGTGCTCTGGTATCCAGGCAGTCCCAGCATGCTTTGGAATAACTGCTGTGGGCTGATGGGATCTTCCTGTTGAGGCTTTTGCATGGTTTCTTTTGGAGTGAAGGAGTGGGGCAGGTCTGTATGTCAGGCAGGTGCCCAGTGTAGAAGGTTTCTGCCCCTACCTGGGTGTCTTAATCACTTTCCGTCCAAGGGATGAAGTGCCTGATACCCATAACTCTTAAGTAAGGAGAGTTTATGATTTTGCTCATATTTCTAGTCTGTAGTTAGCCGGGATGTTCAGTTATTCCTGTCATCTCACCCTGCTTCCCACTAAGCTGGAGACCACACTGAATTTTCTTTAAGAGGTAGCCGGCATCCCTTGGGGCCCAATGATCTGTTTTTAATGAAAATAGGGAGTTTTGGCTTTGTATCTAACTCAAACCCAGAGTTTTTATCTATCAGAAAAGAAAAGTGAGTGGAAATGAGAAAATGGATTTACTTTTAGTTACCATCATTTCATCTTGCTTGGTTTTATGCCCAGGGAGAAGGGAAAACGTAAGCTCCCAAAAGCAGACAGTGGGGTGGTCGGTACCAGGCTTCCAGAGGTGCCGGGCAGAGGGGACACAGGGTTCTGGAGGTCTGGGCAATGATGGATGTCATCACCAATGCTGTGTCCTATGTGGGAGATTGCCGGAAGATCTGAAGCATTCTCAGTGAATCAGACAAAAGCATGACCTACACCAAGACCGCACAGTGAGCCCTTACATCTGTAGGTGTTGTTTTTTATTTGATGGTACTACTTTGCTACGTCCTTTTAATTTTTATTTTAAGACAGGGTCTTACTAAGTTGCCCAGGCAGAAATCAGACTTGTGATTCTCCTGCCTGAGACTCCTAAAGTACTGGGATTACAGGTGTGGACCACAGCGTTTGGCTCACATACAATTTTTTATTTGTCAGTTATGTCTCAATAAAGCCCCTAAATGAAATACCGCCACAGTCATAATTTTTAAGCATGGAGAAAAACTTTCTTTAAAAATATTAAGAGGAAAAAAAAATCTTAAGAGGATTGCTGTATGGGGTAGTGCACGTCTCTAGTTCCAGCACTTGGGAGGCTGAGGCAGGAGGATCATTTCAAGTTTGAGGCCAACCTGGGCTACATAGTGAATTCAAGGCCAGCCTGAACTACATAGCAAGAGCCTACCTCAAAAGAAACAAGCAAACAAAACGGTCCAAGAGTGTTGCCTCTGAATTTAATTGCTGCCGTAACCTGGCAGTGTGGGCAGTCACCTGTGGACTGTTTAGAGGACGCGGTGAGGATGTGCGGCTCAGACAGTCTTTCCTGCCTCTGTGCGCTAGAGCCGTGTGCCATTCCTGTCTTTGTCGTGCGCCATTCCTGTCTTTGTCGTGCAGGCTTTATTTGATTTCTGCTGGTGGTGGCCCTGGGATGCAGGCCCAGCTCCCATTGTCCTGGCTGCATCTGCTCCAGATTTTTTTTTTTGGTACCGGGAATCGAACTTGGGTCCTTGTGCTTGTGCAGCAGGCGGCAAAACCACAGAGCTAAATCCCCAGCCCCAGCACCGCTAGCTAGCGTTTCTAAGTCCCTGTCTTCTGAGTTCTTGCTGTTGCCTGCTGCTACTTTCTTAGGCCAGAAGAGCTGGCTTCCCCCATCCCCTGAACACCTAGCTAAGTGCAGGTCCTGATAGCAAATTGATCTGGGCTCGAGGACTGAGTGAAAGTGAATCGATCCCCACTGGAGCAGAGTCCCAGAAATGTGCTTCATTAAAGCCTAGGGAAAACAGCCCCAACCTGCTGGAGAGGAAATTGCTCTGGGCATTTTCAGAGACACAGAGGAGGGAGGGGAAAAGGAAGAGTGGGGAGAGGTGAGACCTGGTGCAGTCATCGCTGGGTTGCGCTGAGTTCCTTCTGGAGGCCGAGCTAGGAGGGCGAGCTTGTGGGGCACCCGACATAATCAGCCTTCTGCAGCACTCCCCGATGATGCCTGGGGGATGCCTTCCACAGTGGCACCGATTGCCCTTTTCTGTGAAAGCCTAGGGGACACCCACTGTCTCCCTGTCTGTGTGTCACTTGCAGGCTGCCGGAAGCTGAGTTGTGTGTTTTTCTCTTGCAATTCTCCAGCCTCCCTGGGCTCTGTTCCACAGCTTTTCTTTCTTGTCCTCATTTTGCTTTCCTCCTTCTAGGGAATGGTGGCAAAATAAATAAGCAGCACTCATTCTAGACAGGGGTGTGCGACTCCAGAGGGCCCAAAGCAGGAAGCCCATGCTGACCCCCCCACCGCTATTTGTTAGAAATGGAAGTGCTAAAAAGTGCTCCCCCTGTGTGAAGCTTGCAGTGGAGTGCAGCTTGTGGGCCATGGAGGCCGGGAGGTGCCTCTGCCCTGGCTCTGGGTCACCCCCCTTCCCCTCTGTGGCCCCAGGGCCACCATGCCCTGGTGAGGCCATGCAGAGCTCACAGCCACCCTGGCCCTGGCTGCTCTGTGAGGTGGAATTTGGGGGCCTGAGGCCTCTGTGCTCTGGGACACAGGCCTGGTGCTCCTGGGGGCCTGAGGGACCCCACATCTGGGTGGCCTGAGCTCAGCAGGGGCAGTGGGGGTGCAGTGCACCAGGAGGATGGGGACCCGGCGTGAGTTTCAGGGTGAAGGGACCACAGCAGGGCTGGTTGCCTAGAGCTGACCTGTGTCTCCAGCCCTTCCCGATCTTGTGTTTTCAGATGGCAGCTGGACCAATGTGACCCGGGGCCAAAAACACAGGTTCTTCCCTTCCACCCTGGGCTGCTAGGGGTCCCCCAAATTGCACTGATAAAGCTGAGGGGGAGCAAGGTTGCTGGACTGCCACTCCAAAGCCCTGTGCTCCGCGCCCTCTTGCTGCCCTGGGAAGCCCATGGAGCAGGCAGAATTCTGTACCTCCCAGAATGGCACTGCAGGGCAGGAAGGTGGAAATGGCTGTTCGCTTGGTTCCTTTTGGTTCCAGTGCACTTGCTCCTGGCATTAAAATTCCCCTCCCACTGAGCTATACCCTCAGCCCTTTTTTATTTTTTATTTTGAGACAAAGTCTCACTAAGTCACTAAGTTGCCTGGGCTAGGTTGGAATTGTGATCCTCCTGCCTCCGACTCCCGGCATACTGGGATTTTAGGCGTGCAGCCTCATATCTGGCTCCTTGTTCTGTGTTTGAAGGACTCATCCTAGAAATCGTAAAAGGTGTCCAAGGTCCCACAGGGGCACAGCCTCAGAGCACACAGGGCGCACTGTCTAGGAGCCAGAGAGTCTTGTGCAAGGGCGGGGACAGAGAGGACTTGAAGGTGAGAGCATTTTTTTAATGTAAGGTTTGGAGTTTTTTAATGCAGTAGAATAATTTTACAGAAGCGGCCTTCATATTTTGGACTCTTGTGACTTGTGGGTAAAGTCACATCCTGTAGCCGTCAGGGTCGTGATCCTTGACAGAACAGGTGCTGTGGCCTTTCGGACAGAGTGCTCCAGGTTCCCAAGGGCACCTGTCCAGATTTACTTGCAGGACTTTGTGACCATGTCCTGTGCTGCTTGATCCCTTGGCAGAGACCCACAGGTGGCTGTGCTCTCCTGAAGCCCTGTGTAGACAGAGGAGTTTCTGTCCCAGGTTTCCGGCCCTCTGCTGAGATGCAGGAGAAGGCCCCCTGCAGGTGTCTGCTCATTCTGTGCACCTGGCGCTCGTCTGTCCATCCATCCATGTGTCCATCCATCCTCTCCATCTGTCTATCCACCCATCCATCCACCATCCATCCATCCTTCTCTCTATCCATCCATCCATCCGTCCATCCATCCACCCATCTTCCATCCATTCTTCTCTCAATCCATCCATCCATTTATCCACCCATCCACTCATCCATCCATTCTTTTCACTATTCATCCACCCATCCATGTGCCCACCCATCCTCCCCATCCACCCACTCACCCACCCACCCATCCTGCCATCTGTCCCTCTGTGCACCCTACCACGTCCAACTCCTAGCACCACTAGGTATGGGGAGTAGAATAATAAAGTTCTCACTTTCATACAACTTCCTACTGAGGAGAACAAACATCAAAGATCATCCATTCTCGGGGTGGGGGGTCCAGAAGGGTAGGAGGAGGCTTGGGGATTCCAGCGATCTTCACCCCATGATGTCCTCTCTGTGTCTGCCATGCTTACTGCAACCCAGGATGAGGGCAGAGAGGAAGACCTTGGTCGGCTGCAGGGCAGCTGGGTGGGTGAGCTGGGTCAAAGCCAGCTCTGCGATTCCAGCGTGCCTGTTCCCTACCTAAGTGCTCTTCCCTGGGGTCCCGCTACTTCTGCTTGGATCCACCTGGGTGTGATGTTCTAGTTCCCCACACGCCAAAGCTGCACCGGCTTCTTGGAGGCCAGTTTCCAGGCATTTCTGTCTCTGTTAGGGTTGCCAGGGGCCCATGGCCTTTAGGCGAAAACAGACAGAATCGAGACCCTCAGTGCAGGTGAGGCAGGTGGGCCCATGGGGCCCTGCTCCCGGCGGGAAGCTCCTGGTGCGGTGGTGGAGGGAGTGGCTATCTCGTCCTCAGATTCCAAGGGACAGAAGCCGCAGTGGAAGGTGGGGAGCTCGAACATCCTCTGGGTCCGTGCCCCTGTCCGCATCTTTGCCCAGCCAGGGCCTCTTTCCGGGAATTCCTTGGAACAGACTTTCCTCTCCTGCCACCTTCCCAGACCCACCCAGGGAGGCCCTTGTGGCCCTGGGGTGCCCAGTTGGAGCCTCCCCTGGCAAAGGGCACAGGGTGCAGTGATGTCTGGGACCTGTTTGCTTTTGCTCTATGAAAGCGGCTTCTGGTCATCCTTTGTTCTGCAAAACAGTTGGAGGCAACAGAAGGCACTTTGCAAATGATTATTTATGAAAGAGCCTGTAATTGAGGAAGAAGCAGACAATAATGCAAAAAACTAAGCACTGAAATAGCCACCAACTTTAGAGTCCGGCGTACAGGGCTCAGAGACCCAGTAGCAGTGCTTGCAGAGTGTGGCTTAGTGCTCCTTCTTACTTGTCCGAGCCCCTGTTTTCTCATTGCAGGAAATGGGCACGATAACACTTGTCAGACTTGCAGGCAGACAGAGAAAGAGGAACTCGGAGCCTGGTGCTACCTGAGCACGGAAAGTGACAATAGAAGGGTTTGCTGGCACACTCCAGCAATCACAGCATCCTGGGAAGTAGAGGCAGCCTAAATCCCAGCCTAGCCTGGGTAATTTAGAGACTTAGTGAGACACTGTCTCAAAATGAAAACACAAAAAAAGGGCTGGGGTGTAGCTCAGTGCACAGGCCTTGGGTTCAATCCCTGGTAATGGACACAAACCAACAAAAAACCGCGGTAGATTGGCCGATCACAAACTTCGTCACTGGATGCTTTGGGGCTGTGTGTTCTTGTTGCAGATGTTTCTCCGTCTACCTCTTCTTTTATGTCCAAGACATCTTTGTGCTGTTAGATGGGAAAACGTGGCGGAGTCACAACCCACTTCTGTCTGGCAGAAGAGATGGCTGTTTGGATGATCACGAGATGCGGCACCTGGGCCTCCCAGCCTTGTGTAGTAAACAGATGGACATCTGGGGGCAGAACTGCTGTGCACATGACAGAGAGGCCCTCTTGAGCGAACGCACCAGCCAGACCTGACTCACTCCGAGGCCGCTGCAAGCCCTGGCCTCGGTGTTCGAGTCCAGGCCAGGGTGTACAGTTCACACCCATTTTAATTGCTGTACTTTGCTTTTTGGGGGGAATTGTGCCATCACTGTCTCCCACCCTGCCCAACATCATTAGCATTCTCAGCATTCCCTTGGTTTAAGACATTCCAGTAACCCTCAGAGCCCTAATTTGGGCAAACTTAATTATAGAAAGTAGAATCATGATCCTGTTACTAAGGGCTGGGTTTTTCTTAATGCCTGTAAGTGTAAGAAATAGATCACAGAGGTGGACAAGCTGGAGAACAATGGGCACTGATTTCTTTGCTGGTGCTGGGTACCAGGAATCGTGTATATCAGTGCTCTTGGTCCCCGCCCCCCATCGCTCTCTTTCTCATCTCGCTATGTAGCTCAGGCTGGACTTGAACTCACTGAGTGGCCCATGCTGTCTCGCAGCAATCCTCCAAGTGCTGGGATTACAGGCCTGCAGCGCTATACCCATCTTAGACTCTTTATTTTCTACGTCCAGCCAGATGGGCGCCCCACTTTGTCACCGAGGAAGCGACGGCCACATGTATCGGCCTCTCATTGGAGGAACCGGGCTCTTATCTGTCTAGTTCCAAAGCCCTTGCGAGTCTCGCTCCCTCCTTGTGTTAACCGACCCGAAACAGGACACTTCACTTCCCCGCCACTGCGACAGCCCTTCCCCACCTCTGAAGCAAGCAGGAGCACAATGCAGCCTTCGCGGACTCTTGGTGTGACTTCTCTCTCCTCTGTCCCCTATTCACCCTCATCCTGACCTTGGTGACAGCCCTGCCACCTGGTGTCTCAGAGAGAAACCCTAGCTTGGGCTCATCCACCCTCAGTGCTCCGTGAGCTCCCTTTATCAATGCACAGTGGCCCATGCTTATAAACCCAGCACTGTAGGAGGCTGAGGCAGAAGGATCACATAATTGAGCTGAGCCTAAGCAACTCACAAGACCCTGTGTCAAAATAAAAAATTTAAAATAAGCTGGGGCTGTAGCTCAGTGCAAAGACCCTGGATTCAATCCCCAGTACTGCAAGAAAATAAAAATGGTGTTCTGAAGAATACAGGGATCAATGGACAATAAAGAACTTAGTGAGGTGCCCGCTATCTCTTGTGTCTGTGTGAAAGGTCCCTTCCTACTCCCACCTGTCACCGCCATTTTAGTCCTGTCTCTCTGCCGAGGGCCGGCTTTGTGTTTGCTGGTGTTGCCTGTGTTGTGTAACCCCATCCTCTGCGTTCTGACCCAGTGTGGGTCCTGGAACCAGGTGGGACCCCAGTGATCTTTGGCGCACGAATCACACCTGCAGACCTCTCTTGGTGGTTGCCAGGAGCTACCCAGAGAAAACATGAAATGGAGAGAGAAGCATGGCTGCCCATTTCCATAATGCACCCCTGGGCCTTTGCATAGGAGGTAGAGGTGTTGATGGGCTCTTCTCTGCTTTACTTCCAGTGCCTGAAGCAGTATGTGGAGCTCCTGATCAAGGAAGGACTTGAGACTGCGATCAGCTGCCCAGATGCGGCCTGCCCCAAGCAGGGCCAGCTTCAGGAGAAGGAGGCACGTGCAGACCACAGCCTGGCTGGGCACGGGAGGGTCTGCTTAATTACATGGCTTTCGCTTTAGCCCTCGGCTTGTTATACCCCTTATTTTTTCTCTTTTAGATAGAATGCATGGTCGCAGCTGAAATAATGCAAAGATACAAAAAGCTACAATTTGAAAGAGGTAGGTGGCTCAGAGTATCAGGGACCTGTGACATCCAATAGAATGAGGCTGGGAGGGGGACTAGACATCACCTGACAGGTGTGGAAGAGCCACGATCAAGTGAAAATGTCCGCGCACGTCAAACTCAGACTCCGCTGCCCCATTTCGAGATCCAAGCAGCTCATAGTTCCCCAGCCTCAGCCGGTGATCATCATAGCCCAGGAGCTCAGGAAGTGTCTGTGCAGGGGCTGGGGCTTCTGAGGGTGAGAGAGACATGGCCTTGGGGCACTGGATTCTTCAGCAAGGCCTCTGTCTACTGGCTTCGGGGCTCTTAGGGGACCCCGAGTTTAAGAGTTTAACGGCACAAAGGTGTGGGAGGAGCCGGAGGCTGAGCACTGGGGTGCTGTGTGACCTTGCCCCCCGGCAGGCAGTTTGGGGCCCTCTGCTGGGATTCAACGCCAGGGAGGAGGGAGGCGCCGGTACCGTGGGCCACCCAGTTCTCCCAAGGTTCCATGGCCACCGAGGGCACCTGTCAGTCGGGGCTGTGCAGACAGCAGAGGGCTGGCCCCGCCCTGGTTTCTAGCTCGTGGGGATCAAGGACCAGACCCCGACCCAGGGCAGCCTCAACTGGGACTGGGGTATTGTACTGCAGAGCACTGAAACACGCTGTTTGCCTTCTGAAACATCATAAAATGATTCTTTTTTGGCACTACTGGGGATTGAGGCCCTTCTCACTGAGCTGCGTCCTCAGCCCTTTCTATTTCTAATCTTGAGACAGGGTCTTGCTGAGTCACGAGTTGCCCAGGTTGGGCTGGAACTTCAGATCCTCCTGCCTGTCTCCCAGAATCCCGGGACTGCGGGCATTCACCACCATGCCCAGTTATAAAATAGTATTTTGAAGAGCTTTGGGCCCTGTTTGGCCTCCTTTTTACAGATACTTTGGGCCTGAGGCCGATAAGCACAAGGACTAAACGGGCAGGAAATGTCCTTCTGCAGGGCTTCATTTCGAGGACACTTCTGGGGTTCACAGACCTTCAGCATGGCTGGAGTCCCCCGGGGTCGGGGTCCAGTCACGCTGTCCCAGGACAGGTTTCTGCCCGCGTCTGCTGTGATCCAGGCCCACAGGTTCGCACGGAAACACTGGCTGTGTGACCAAGGAAAAGTGCTGGTGGGATTTAGGGGTGGTGTGTTTGTTTTCATTTTTATTTTTTAATTTTCCAAAGAAATGCTAAAGACAGATTTCCTCCAGAGACTCACTTTTCAAAAACAACACCACAGCAAATACATGGCCAACTTAATTTTTTAAAAAGCAAGATTTTTCATGGCATTTTCTAGCATAAATGTGGGAGTCGGCTTGAGGGCCTACAGAACTGACTGATTTGCATTCCTAAGACTTTCAGGCCCTTCTAAAAATATTTTCCAGAGAGAATCTTGACAGAAACAGGGAGTTGTTTAGGTTACTGGAATATGAACTTTCCATGACATCAAATTTAATTTAAAATGCAGCTGGGTAAATTTTCCTACCTAATAATTTTAACTTTTTTGTTTAGTACTTTGGCTAGGTCTAAAAGACTTTTTTTCCTCTCTCTCTCTCTCTCTCTCTCTCGCATAAAAATGAAGTCAACTTGACTCAGGTTAGAAAAATACTTTTCAAACTGATCACTTGAAAACTTTTAACTAACATTATGCTAAACATTTTTAAAAAACGGAATCAGACTTAATCAGACAAAAGACCTGTCCGGATGAAAGGCCACAGCCTGCCAAGATCCAGTTCAGTGGGTGAGACAATCAGAAAGCAAACTTTGATTTGCTGGATGCCTTTATCGTGCAGTCATAATATAGGGCAACTCAGTGGGAGGCTCATTTAAAAGAGTCTTGACAACATTTAGTTACAAAAAATCCTAAAGCAAGTTCAAGTTGCAAATGTGTCTTTATTTAGTCTTAGTGTGTCTCATCTGATTTAGCAGATGTTTGATGTTAATATAAATATTTGTTTCCTCCCTCTCTCTCTCTGTCAATTTTTTTGAGACAGGGTCTCCATATGTATTTCGGGCTGGCCTTGATCTCACTATGTACCTCAGGCTGGCCTCGAACTTGCAGTGATTCTCCTGCCTCGGCTTCCTGAGTGCTGGGATCATAGGTGTGAGCCACCACACCTGGCTTCCCTAGCCAAAGCCCTAGGCATGCTGAAAGCCAGGAAAAGGAACTGTTTTTCTTTCTGAGCACCCCTTCCTGCTCAGTGGCACTGTGTCTGCCTCACAAGTGCAAGGTCCTGAGTTCGATCTCTGGTACTGCAAAAAAAAAAAAATTTTTTTTTTGAGTCCACGTTTGCAGTATATAATGTTTACATTCCTCGTGGGGGAGTTGGTGGGTGAACAGAATGCTCTATGCTGTATAAATACATATTCTTTATTCATTCATTTGTTGCAGGACATACAGGACGTGTCACTATTATGAGTTATGCCATAAACATGGGTGTGCATGGATTACTGAGCTATGATGTCTTGAACTCTTTCAGGAAGATACCTAGAAGGGGAATAGCTGGGTCAAATGGAATTTCCAGTTTTAGTTTTTTTGAGGAATCTCCACACTGATTTTCACAGTGACTGTACCGGTTTATCCTCCCATCAACAGTGTGGAAGGGCTCCTTTCCCCACAGCCTCACCAGCACTTGTTATTATTGAATTTCATTTTTTTAAAGAAGGTAAAGCCCAGAGAGATCACACAACAGGCCAGGGTGTCCCCCATAGTCTAAGCAGAGTCCACAGCTGCTGAGACCACCGAGTCTCCTGCATGGTGTTTCCTGCCACTTCCTAGGACCAAGACCCAGCTGGGCCACACAGGAGGTTAGGAATGGCTTCGGCAGAAAGCTGTGCTGAGAGTGGTCTGTCACAGCATGCTTATGCGAGCAAAACCTCTTTCCTAAAGATGGGACCACCTGTTTGGCAGTGTTGGGTGTTTTTATGCATAGAGATCTCTTAGAAACCTGCCTCACTGAGAACCAGGTGGGATCACAAATACAGTGAATGTTGCTGCCGGGCACCATCCAAAGGAAGGGGAGGCTCATAAAAGCTGTGTCCTCATCCACCTTAGTCACAAGATCTGGCACAGTGTGACTTCCGGCTCCTCCCCAAAGTCACAATGACCACAAGAGGAAAACATTTTGAATCCATGCAGGACATGGAGGCAGCTAAAGACAACTAAAGACCCTCAGGAACTAAAGACCCTCAGGAAAGAGGGCTTCAGAGCTGCTGCAGAAAGTAACAAGGACGATAGAACAAGTGTGTTCAAAGTGAGGGCAAGGGTTTTGAGAAGGATTCATGGCAATGTGTCTTACCATAAGTTTTTAAAAATGTAAACATTTATTGTATTTTTTAAATCAAATTTTAGGTCTGCACATCTAACAGCCAGGGATCTTTTTGGAAAAGGAAACAGCAAAAAAAGCATTGGCTAGTAATGTCAGGTAAAAGGCAAGAGTTACTTTGTTCCTTCACTTGAACTGGGGGCACCTTGGAAGCTTGACAGTATTAGAATGAAGGTCCAGGTGGAAAGCAGGCTCCTGAGCCCCGTAGTCCCTTTCTGGGCAGGTTCTTGTCAGCGTCCTGCCAGGACTACCCCTGTGATTGTTTTGTGCTGTTGGCTAATTCATCTTTTTCTGTGAGAAACACAGGCTTTGTTTTATTGGACCAGGAGTCAGCTGGCTTGGCAGTGGGCCAGCCTGGGGCTGCTGTGATGAAGGTTTTTAGAACCCTGTTTGCAGACCTCTGTCTGCTTTAGACTCCAACAGCAGAGCTGAGGCGACGCCCCAGAAACCCAGAAGTCACACGGGCCTCCGAGTCACCAACTCGGACCTTGTTCAGAGTGCCCTCGCCTCTGTGAGGTGATACTGTTGTTACCAAGGCCATATCCAACACAGGACTGTTCCCTGGGCCCTGGGCCCTGGGCCCAGCTTCTGTGTGTAGCGGGGACACATGGTGATGGCAAGGGGCGTGTGTGCTATGTGTTTGCACGTGCACAGTTGGAACATCACAACCAGGGAGGACATAATGAGCTGCAGCCCTCCTGTGTCCCTGTGTCCCAGTGGTATTGGTCCCCCCAGCCCCAGGCTTTTGGAAGCCCAGTGAGCACAGTTCCTCTCTTGGATCCGGAGCCAATAGCCTGTCTGACCCAGAACTTTGCCAGGGCCTCTCTTTGCCTCCCACTTTCCGTAGCACAATTGAGGTCTCAGTAAGTGATTTCCCCCAGGAGAGTCCTGCTGAAAAGCCCCACAGCTTAGAACCAAGGCTAGCTGGGAGGCCTTTGAAAGCAGCCTTTAATCCTCAGTCTCTGGTGGCTTTGGGCTGGGAAGTTAACTAGGGGACCCCTGCCGCCCCTCCCCGGAATTCAGGGCCTGCTGCCCTGCAGGGAAAATGACACAAGCAGCCAGGCCCATGGGGAAGTGCAGCTCGCGGCCAGTTCTTTCAATAAATGAAAGTTTTAAACAAGCATGTGAACCAGTGAGAATCCTGTTTTTAAGAAGAAACTTCCCAATTTCTTGACATTAGGCTGCTGGGTAACTTGGGATCCAATCTACCTGGCTTAGTTTTAGTCAGGAATGGTTTACTTAGCACCTGGCTCACGGTGTAGATTTACATTTGAGAGGGGAGACAGTCTTAGGCAGAAGCATCTGGTTAGAATAATTCAGCCACGTTTCTTTCCCTGTCACCTTTATTTTGCAGTACTGGGAATTGAACCCAGGGCCTCTACATGGATCGACATCCCCAGCCCTTTAATATTTTTTCCTCTTTTTTATTCATTAAGTTTATTGGTACATTTTCAGTATACAATACAGTTACATTCATCATTGGGAACTTGTGCCTTTACATGATGGATCTTGGTTCTTATTTTTTCCCCATTCCCCTGACCCCCCTTCAGTCACTCCACCCTTCCCTATTTACAAAGGTTTTGTTTCCATTTTTTCCTTTTCTCTGCTTATTCCTTTCCCTTCTTTTCTTTTTCTTTTCTTTGCCCTATGCCTCCCACTTCCCCTTCCCCTTCAGACCTTTTCTTCCTATTTCACATTATCCATTAGACATTTTGATCCTTATTTACACTTTCAGTTTCTCACACCAGAGAAACTATTTGGCATTTACTCATGTGTGTTCTATTTATTTCTCTTAAGAGTATGGTCTCAATGTGCATCCATTTAGCTATAAATGTCTCTAATTTCTCATTCTTTATGGCAGAGTAGTACTCCATTTTATTTTTAAAAATCCCACATTTTCTTTATCCAGTCTCCAGTTGATGGGCACTTGGGCTATTTCCAAGCTTTAGCTATTACAAACTGTGTCACTATAAACATGGGTGCACATATATCACTGTGGTATGATTCTTTTAATTCTTTGGATAAGATACACAGCAGGGGAATAAGTGGGTCAAATGGGACTTCCAGTCTTAGTTCTCTGAGGTATCTCCATACTGATTTCCACAGTGGTTGCACCAGTCTGCACTCCCACCAGCAGTGGAGAAGGGTTCCTTTCTCCCCACAGCCCGCCAGCCTTGCATAGTGACAGGACCCAAGGCTGAGCCTGGGTGTGCAGGGCAGGCCAGGGGTCCCAGGGAGCTGGGCTCGAGATCCCCTGCCTTCTGCCATCGTCACCTGAATGTGGCCCTCGCAGCCTGCTCCACGCTGACCCTGAGTGTCATCTTCATCTTGGGGCTGATTTACCCATTTCTCCCCCTGCCCTAGAGGTGCTCTTTGATCCCTGCCGGACCTGGTGCCCAGCGTCCACCTGCCAGGCTGTGTGCCAGCTCCAGGACCTGGGGCTGCAGACACCACAGCTGGTGCAGTGTAAGTCCTGCCACATGGAGTTCTGCTCGGCCTGCAAGGCTCGCTGGCATCCTGGCCAAGGCTGCCCCGAGAGCATGCCCATCGGCTTCCTCCCCGGGGAGACCAGGTACCCTCCGGGCTTGGGGGGGCTGGGAGAAGGAGGAGGGGGAGGTTTTCTTCCCTCCTGGAAGTGTCTCAGAGAGCATGCGGCTGCGGACTTTTCAGCCTGAACATGCACTCCGCCTCTTGAGGGCTCATTCAAGCCTGTAGCTGTTTGGTGGTTTATTTCCTTTTATTTTTTAGATAACTAAAGAAGCACAGCTTTAATGTCAGCCTCCCAGAGGCCACTCCATCTAAAGTAATCAGTCCCTAGCATACCGTCCTATTTTAATTCATTTTGTTTTTTGAGTTGGGGTCTGGCTATGTAGCCCAGACTGGCCTTGAACTGAATGCAGTCCTCCTGCCTCAGCCTCCCAGGTGCTGGGATAACAGGCGTTCGCCACAATGCCCAGCTACTTAATTCTTTTTTGGTATAGCACTATTTACTTTTTCCATATTTTTTATTAGTGCATATTGATTAAACAAATAAATGGGTTTCATTGGCAGATTCATACATGCACAAAACATAGTTTAATTATTTCCCCCGTCACCCCCTTCGCAGACTCCCCGCCCCGAGTTTCACAGGTTTTAGGGGGTTTCAGTGTAGGTCTTTTGGTCATATTCGTGCCCCTTATTTCTGCACTCACAGTGGCCCCCCTTCGTTTTGGCATTTTGAGCGCTATTTACCAAGCACCTGGTAAGACCTTGCACTTAGCAATATGCCCGAGCTTTGCATCCCACTCCACCTGCCCAGAAAAAGTGAATTTGAAACTTAACAAATGAGTTACACTGAAAGACACCTCGCCACGAATCTCTCACAGTAACCACCCCCTCACTTTGAACACACTCATCCCATCATCCTGGCCGTTTTTGCAGCTGCCCTGGAGTCCTCTTTCCTGAGTGTCTTTACAAACTGCGTTAAAAAATATGGTGGGCTAGGGATTTAGGATTTAGCTCAGTAGTTCAGCTGCCTGCCTTGCAAGCCCAAGATCTGGAGTTTGATCCCCTGTACCAAAAAAAAAAAAAAGAAAAAAGGTGACTGCTGCAGCCGAGCACCATCCAACAGAAAGGCAGCTCCTACAAACAGGGCGTCCTCATCTGCCTCAGTCACTGGGTCTGGCACCGTGCGAATCTCCATGCAGCATGCGAAGTCCCGTGACACCTGCCCCCTCCCCAAGACTGCAGGGCTGGAGGTGGTCAGGGCTGGGGCACAGACACCGGAAGGGCCTCAGGGGAAGGGTTATGAAGGCCAGAAGCCTCAGGCCCAGGAGCTGCGTAGCCCTGGATCCCAAGTCTGGGAGAGCTGTGGGAGGCCCTGCTGTCCTTTGGCCTCTGCCCCCGCCCCGGAGATGGCCTGGCTCCTCGCCCAGGTGCACTGCAGCCTCCTCCTGGGCACCTTGAGATTTAGCAGCCTGACAGTAAGAAACATCCTCCCATTCCCATCCCAAGTCCACCGCCTCAGGGGCCGGGCCAGGCCAAGACCCTGTGGCTCTGCCACAGGCCCCTTGCATGTGCACTTTGCACACTCCCTCCTCCGCCCTTCTCCTCCCCTGGAGACTCCTGGCCGCCTGCCAGACACAGCTCCATCCCCTCTGTCCTTAGTCCCCATTTCTGGGGCACACTGGGGACCCCACCGTCTGTGTTCCTGTCACTGACCACCACCCTGGGCACAGCGTGAAGTCCTGCCTCAGCCTCCCTGGGTGCTGGGGTTACAGACATGTGACACCATACCGTGCCTGTTTGTTTTTGTTTTGTTTTTTGAGGCAGGGTCTCTGTGGAGTTCAGCCTGGATTGTATGTATGTATGTATCTATGTAGCCCACTATGTATGACCTTGTACCTTCAAGCCTGGGCTCTCTGTGTATTGCTAGGTGAAGTGTCCTCTTTGCCTCTGTCCACCACTTGACCAGTGCCTTATCAACATCAGTGTCTCCTGTGTGACCCAGTGCACATATTGGGGTTAAATGCCGCAGAATCGTAGCTGCCTTTGTCCATTTCAATCCACAGCAAAACTTGTTATTAATAATAATTTTGAGTGTAACAGATACCAGAAATGTCCAAAAACCTTTACCTGCACTGTGGAAGTTTTTATGCAAAACACAGCACACTGGAACTTCTAAATTGTTTCTGTTCTTTTCTTTTTCTCTTTCCCGTACTGGAGATTGCACCCACGGGCTTCGCACAGAGTTCCATCCCCAGCCATTTAAAATTTCAGACAGGGTCTCCCTAAGTCTCTAAGTTGCCAGGCTGGGCTGCAATTTTCGATCCTCCTGCCTCAGCCTCCTACCGAGGTGATATTGCAGGCTGTACCCCACCGCAGCTGGCTGGCTCTGGTCCTCTGGCTCTGTTGAATTTCACTAATAAGAGGCTGTCTCAGCCCCTGCCCTGGGCGGTGCTCCCACGGGGCGCAGGCCCAGAGCAGGCACTCATGAGGTCCCTTCCGGCAGCGCCGGGTTCAAGCTGGACGAGGATGCTGCACCCATCAAGCGCTGCCCGAAGTGCAGAGTCTACATTGAGCGGGACGAGGGCTGCGCGCAGATGATGTGCAAGAACTGCAAGCACGCCTTCTGCTGGTACTGCCTGGAGTCCCTGGACGTGAGTGGCGGGCTGGGCGAAGTGGGCAGCTGGGCCCGGAGAGCGTGCGGGGCCCCTGAGCTGGGGCAGTGCACGGGTTGCTGTCTGTGTGCACGAAGACGTCCATCCGCTGCGTGTGGGGAGCCCCGGTCCTGGATCCGGTCGGCCCAGTCGGAGGCCCGTGAGGGAGACCGAGGACCTGAGGCCTGAGGGAGAGGCCGGGAGCCCTTCCTGCGGCCGGGAGTCCAGAAGTCTGACTTCCTGCAGAGCTGAGCCGGTCGCGGTGACCCAAATCCCAGAACCCAGGGCGCCGAGGCTGTGCGTTCACGGCCAGCCTGGGCCACACAGAGAGACCCTGTCTCAGGGAACGGAAAGACCACGGTCCCTGCAGAGCTGGTTCCTGGTGTTTGGGTGGCTGCCTTCTCCCTGTGCCCCAGAGGGACACAGGACGCAGAGGGAGACAGAGCTCTGGGCTCCTCTTCTCTGTGAAGGCCACTGATCCTGTGGACTCCTCCCTCACAACCCCATCTAACCGCCCCCAAATGCCCAGCCCCCTGACAGAGACACTCTGGAGCTTAGGGCTTCCATATAGGAATTCTGGTGGAAGGGGCACAAATACTCCACCCATAACCAGACCCTTAGAGGAATAGCAAGGATAAATGTCGGCCGGGAGGGCAGAGCCGGGGTGGGCACTTGCCCTGCTTCCTTAACACCCGCGGCACCTGCATAACAGACAGGAAGTGAGTGTCCTGGGCTGTCCCCTCTGACGGAAGACCATGCCCTCTGTGCTGCCTCCCCCAGTGCCCTCTCTGCCATGGGCATGTCCCACATACCTTTGGCCTGCTGTGCAGCAGGGCCTGCATATGCTTTGTTCCGACCCTGGCCCCCCAGAGCACCTCATACACCCTGTCCCAGCCTCTTCCGGGGGCTCCCAGGCCCACTGCAAACAGTGCTTTTCAACTTCCAGTCCCCGGGGCCGTGGTAGGGGTTGGGTTCCTGCCAGGGGGATGACGCGGGGACTGGAATTTTGGCAGAGCCCATGTGTACATACACTTGCGAGCTGTCATTAAATGGCAGATCTGATCATCTCTTTAAGCACTGTGGTGAGCATCTGTCCAGGCGAATCCAGTGCAGTGTCATGGAGTGCTTGTGTGTCTGTTCCTATACAGCAGAGGTGACTGCATTTGGTTTATCAAGGACAGCCTGAAGCCAGGAGGTCTCTTCCCAGTAACGCAGGGCCTGAGTCTGTGTCTTACAGTCTTGGGGTTCATCTCCCGAGTCTGTTCTTTCTCACCGTGAACATCTAATGGCCCTGGTGCTGGGTGAGAGTCAGGACTGCACATTTAGCTCATGGTGTGGAGCCGGTGAGGAGCGGTGGGCTTACTGTTGCCTGGGGCCTAGTTGGTGACTTTAGAAAGTTTGCTCCTCTTTTTTTTTTTTTTCTTTTGCGGTTTGGGGGATCGAACTCAGGACCTTGTGCTGGTGAGGCAGGCTGGGCGCCACTGAGCTAAATCCCTGGCCCTCCTCCTCAGAACAGCCCTGCAGATGGCCAGGAAGTAAATGAGTATCTTGTTGAGATGGAATATTAAATATGGAAACAGATCTTTGTATTAAGCAATTAGATTTCTGTCTCTTTGGGAGTTGTTCTCTCAAAAGCCCATTGTTCTATTATTAACTTTAAATTACTGAATTTACAGCAGAACCCAGTGCAGAAGTATTTCCATTCTGTTCTGGGGGCTTTCATTTCCTCCTCCTGGTCAAGTTTAACGAATCTGTTGCCAGATTCCTTTTCTTGAGCTGAAGTCAAATGCCCAGGGTGTTCTCTGACCTTGTGCAGTGTGGAGGGCAGGTTTGAGATGACAGTTGAAGGATTGCAAAGTCTGCAAAGTTTCTTTGCATCTTTTTCCCAAATTCCAGGTGTTTTGAAAACTGCTCCCTGAATGAGGACAGTCTCTGTATCCGGCCTGTACTTTACTGCTCGGGCTGTGTTTCCTAAAGCGGAAGGAAGTGCCTGGCTTCTTTCTTACTTCCTACCAAACGGCCCTTGGGGACTCCGCTGGGCACTATTAGAAATGGGTGGGGAAGAGTTTGCTATTTGGCTTGTCCTGGTTTCTGCGGCTCCTTCTGGGAAGGAAGGAGAAAGGAAGCTGGGGTCTTGCTCCTTTGACAGCGGCCCCAGAAGCAGCCCTCCTTGCCTGCCCTGGTCCTAAAGGCCAGCTCCTGCCTCTGAAGCTGCCCGTATCTCGGCCCAGGAGACCCACCGAGTGCTGTTCCTCCATCGAGCTTTCCTTGCAGCCAGGAGCTTCCTGTTTTGCTTTGCAGCAAAGAGCTGCTGAAAATGACCTGGTTTTGCACAAAGCAGTTTTGGAAGGAGAGGGAAGTTACTGTGTGGGCAGTTTATCAGGGACACTCACAGCGATTCCACCCGGGTCAGGGCTGAGGGCCTGGCAGCTGGCCAGGAGCAAGACTCAGAGAAGGTGCCAGGAGGGCGTCTCGGGAGGAGTATTTGCCCTGGCTCACAATTCTTCGTACACCTGGGCATGCAGCAGCTGTCAATCACTCTGAATTGCTCCTGTCTCATCCTGTTGTTACTAGAGCGCCTTTCTGAGGTCCGGAAATGGTGGTAACGAGATCAAATCTGGAGAAAATACAGGCATAGCGCAGGCCTTCTGTTGGGACTTCTACTCCAACCAGAAGGGAGTCGTGGCTATGACAGAGAGCAAGTCCAGAGAGACACTGCCCCCTGAACAAAAGGAAAGGCGTAGCCAGTATGTATAGAAATTGTCTTTGCCATGTTGGGCATCATGGTGCCAACCTGTAATCTCAGCACTCTGGGAGGCTGAGGCAGGAGGCTCAGGAGTTGGAGCCCAGCCTGTGCAACTTAGTCACTCTAGAAAGACTCTGTCTCAAAATAAAAAATAGTGAAGGGCTGGGGATGTAGATCAGTATGAAGGCCCTGGATTTCATCCTCAATATCAGACAAAGAAAGAAAGAAAAAACTGTTCCTCCCCAAGTTCCTGTAAGGTCAGACTGAGGCACGATTGAGACCATCGAGGCAGGCAAAGTTCAAGCAACTGGCGGAGAGTTTATTGCCGTCTGGGTGCAGATGGGCCAAGGGCTTTTTGCCCTCCTGAGAGGAGGGTGTGCACAATTGATATGGGGGAGTTTGGGTAAGGGAGGGGGCGCTGGCCGAGAGGGTGGGAAATTTTAGAGTCCCATGGGCGGTGGGCCTGGGGCTGGCGGATAAACAGGGCGGTGGTGAGAGCGGCAGGGCAGCAGCTGGCTTTCTGTTATCTCTGTGCTCCTGTGGATGCGGGGAGTGGGTCTGCTTGGGCGGGGTCCAGTCCAGGGACCTGTCAGTTCCCGTCTGGTTTCTCCCTGCAAATAAAAGATTCAGACTTTCAGAGAGCACGGGTCCGACCGCCAGTGCCTGAGCTGAGCTGTGGAGACCTCAGAGGTCTTTGTGCATTGAGGTGAGGCAGCGCTCCGTGTTGGCGCTGTTGAGCGTGTAGCTGTGGGCCTACACACGGTCTGTGGGTCTCCACGCGTGTCCCCGTCCTGCGTCCTTTGGTCATCCTGATGACTCAGTACTCCTCTTCCTTCCCCGGCCCCTCTGCTGCTGTAGGCAGGCTGCTTGTGAGCGGCTGTGCTGTCCCAGCACTTGCTGGTCACAGGACACGGCTTCTTCTCACTGGTTCACAGAGCACAGTAGTGGTGAGCACTTATCCCATCGTCACCTGCCCCGCACACCTTTGTCCAGGTCCTGCAGCATTTCTATGAGCTGGATTTTTTTTGTTTTGTTTTGTACTGGGGATTGAACCCAGGGCCTTTGCACTGAGCTATGCCTCTAACCTTCTTTTATTTTTCACTCTTAGACAGCATCTCTGTAAGTCACAAAGTAGCTCAGGTGAGGCTGAAACTTGTGATCCTCCCACCTCAGCCCCCAAGAGTGTTAGGACTACAGGTGTGCACCACCATGCCCAGCTGTTGGGATTCCTGCTACCTTTTTCCAGAAGGAAGTTGAGGGAGGGGTTATCAGTATTTCTTCAGAGCTCCTGATTGGTGAGCAAGGGACCCAGTGTAGGTCTCTGACCTTTTATACCTGGGGGGGATGCTTGAAGCCCGATTTCCACAGGAGGCACTAAACCCTGGGGAGCTAGCTGCTCCAGGGTTTATTTTTGCCCTAGGTGGTTGTAGCTTTCTATGGCTTGTGCCATTGTTCATGTCCCAGTGTGAGTTTAATGAGACTTCTGTGACCAATAGCAAGGGAAATGTTTCCTACCACAGAAACCATGCTAGATTCCTAGCAGTGCCTCGTGTCCTTGCCTTCAAGGGCTTTATCAGTGCCTTTAATATCACTGGTAAACACATGTATGTTCTGAGGGGTAGGAGACTGCCTCAGCCAGGCGACAAGAAAATACAGCTGCTCAGTGTGTGTGCCTGTGTTCCTGGAGATGAAACCCAGTGCCTTTAGAGTGAGCTCCATCCCCAGCTCTTTTGTCTTTTATTCTGAAGCAGGGTCTTGGTCAGTCCTGAAGTTACCCAGGCTGGGTTTGAACTTGTGATCCTCCTGCCTCAGCCTCCCAGAGTGACAGGTGTGTGCCCCCAGGCCTGGCTAAGAAAGCCCATCTTGGATGAGCAGTCCTTGTTTTCGGGAGACCATGCTGAGCGGGGGCAGCTCCCTCTGGGCGGAGGGCAGAGGTACCAATCTGCAGATCTTGCGGTGGGAGAGCCCATCCTCCCTGGCCAGAAACCCCGAAGCATGAGCCACCCCAGCGTCTCTAGGAAGAGGAAGCGGCTGCTTGGGATGGGTGTGAAGCCTGGGCAGCCTGTGGGCTGCACCACATGGGGTCTGGTCTCTGGGGGCTGCTGAGACCCAGTGAGAGTTTGTTCACCAGGAAAAGGGAAGAAAGCACTGAGGACAGCAGGGTCCAGGCGTGGATGGAATGGGGAAAGGACACCAGGGTGTCTGTGGCCACTCAAGTCCACTTGCTTGCTGCTAACCGAGCCCAGGGGTGACACTGATTGTGGAAAAAAGGAAGAGGGCTTTATTCCCAGCCAGCTCTGAGGAGGTGGAGGAGCCCATCGCCTCAGTGGCTATGGGGCAGACTGGAGACACCTCGACCAGCTCCCTCCCCCGCCCCTCTGGGCGGAGGAACCTGGACCCCCAAACCCAGGGTGCTGGACTGCATTTTAGTCCCCGCCCTCGGCTGGGAGAGGAGGGGGCGGTTACACCCAGGAAGAGGAAGTGCACAGAAGCCACTGTCTCTAAAGGAAATAAAACCCCACAGGAGTCCTTCGTGGGAAAATGGGTGCTCCTTGGGACCATAACGTTTAGGGAAATAAATCAGACACACGCGCTTAAGTTTCACATGGTTTCTCTTATACGAGAAACCCAGAGCATAAATACACTACGTTCAAAGGTAAAATAAGAGACAAAGAATAGGAAATAGGGAGCTGGATCTCCTCCAAATGGGAAGAGGACTGAGACGGTGGGCGTTGGAGGAGGAGAGGGAAGGGGATGTAAAAAATGAAGCCGTGTGATGTCCATGCCCCAAGCCCCACAGGAATGCCACCCTTACACATTGTGAACATAATGAAAAGAAGAATTTTTTAAATTAAAAAATAAGAAATAACTAAAGGGAAAAAACCCCCTAACTTTCAGAGTTGCATTTGCCGCGCATAGCATAGTATGCCATGAGCAGGGACTTGTCGCCAGGGCTGGGAGGGAGGCCCTGGGAGCCGTGCCGGCCCTGGTTGCCAGTGGGCCCCTCCGCACCAGCTCTTCAAGGCTTTTAAACCAGGCAGCACAGGGTTGGCTTGTTTGAGAAAAACGGTTACAGAACCTTTTTGAGAGCTGTGGCGTGAGAGACCAGGATGGGCAGTCCGGGAAGCAGGGCTTGAGAAAGGCACTTGTGGTCTTTGGAGATGAGAGCAGTAAGGTCGAGTCGGAGGGAAGAGCACTCAGGAGCCCGGGTGGATGAAAGTGGCCAGATGTGGCTTCGTCCTAGACTGAGGTTGGGCTGGAGGGGCGGGAAGCCCACCGGTCCCGCCTTTGACAGGCGTGGATCTGGGATGGAAGATAAGGTCAGCGGCCGAGGACATTTCCAGCCTCCAGGGGGCCCTGGGATTGCACCGTAAAAGCCAGGATGCTGCTGATGAGCGTGGGTGTCAGCCCCGTGCTGGGGAGCATCCTTAGGGAGAGGGTCTGGGGAGGACGGTCCTGGAGGCCCAGATGGACGGGGCCCCTGGAGGGGATGCTGGCCGGGTGTCCCCATGAGCACCCAGCAGGAGGACATGGCTCAGTCTGGACTCCACTCAGTCGCGGTGGTTGCGGGGACAAGATGTTCCCCGCTGTTCCTTGCAGAATGGGAAGCTCATATGGGTCCTAGTGTTGGAGGGTGCACTTTGAGGGGGGAAGCTTGCGCTGGTGGGGGACCAGGGTGAAGCACGCAGTCTGATCTCAGGAGTGACCCTGTTGGGGTGGCGCTGGGAGGTGAGACACAGCCAGGCCCCGGGAGGAGCTCTGGGGAAGGATGGACCTGGCCCGTCGGTAGCCAGCATGCAGTCCACTGTTCCCTGCAAGCCCAGAGCAGAGCCCGGGTGCAGGAACCTGCTTGGGACCAGGGAGTAAAGTTGGACTCACAGCTCCTTGTGCATCAGGCTGGCCGTGCTCACTGGGCTGCTCCTGGGCAGTGACAGCTGCCCGGGGTGAGGGCTACCGGATGTGCCTTCCCCTCTGTCCCCACCCTGTCTCCCTCTGTCTCCACTTCCTATCCACAGGGTAAGGAAGGGCAGCTCAGGCCTCTGTTCACCGCTGCCCTTTTCTGGCTTCACAGGACGACTTCCTCCTGATCCACTATGATAAGGGGCCCTGCCGAGACAAGCTGGGTCACTCCCGGGCTTCTGTGATCTGGCATCGGACACAGGTGAGAGGTCGCTCACCTGGAACTTTGATCTCGGGAGAGGGAGAGTGTGTGAGTGCCTGGGAGTGCATTGTGTGTGTGTGCTGTATGTGGTTTTTAGAAGCTTGCCAGTTGGTGGGCAATCTGCTCTACAAAGAGGCTGAGCTGGAAATGTGGCTCCTGCTGGCTCCTCAGACTTAATGCTTGTGTGGTACTCATGACCTTGGCTGTGTGTCTTTTATCCATGGGTATCGCTGAATGCAGAGTTTCCTAGATGAGCTGGTTGCTACCAGGAAAGGATGACAGGGGGTAGTGTGATGGGTTGGTTTGTCATCTGTTAGTCAGTGAGTTGCTTGGGGTGTGGATTCTATCTCAGTAAAGCTGTTATGTATAAACAATCCAGACGCCTCCTGGGGGCCTGCTGTGCAATGTACACCCCACTGCCAGCATGGGCTGCCCTGGGGTCCTGGAGTCAGCCTTTCCCAGCGGACATCCATGACTTTGATCCTGAGTTCTCCACGGTCAGGGCTCCAGGCAGGTGTGTGGGGCTTTGGGAAGCCCAAGGCCTGGTGGCCAGGGTCTGTGGGGCGAGTCGTGCTGTCCTTCGGCAAGCTGCAGAACAGGGAGCACGTGACAGGCTACTTCCCTGCCCCCAGAAAATGTGTGGGTTTGCTGTCATGCGTCTCCTTTCTCCCTGGACCCCTCCAGACAGCTCCGTGCTCTCCCTGCCCCTCTTTCTGGCCCCTGCTGCTGCTGCTGCTGCCTGGTCCTGTCCCCGTCTCTTCCTCTGTGTCCTGCCTGGCACATGTTGTGCTGCAGGTTTCCGGGAAGTCATGGTATTCCGCTCCTTCACCGCAGCTGTGATTCCTCAGCCCTTGAGTGGGATTTGGAGGTGGATTCTGCTGGGAGCCCATTCAGAGCATGGTCAGTTCCTCTGCAGCTGGTGCATCCCGTGACCTCTAGGTGGACACTTCCTGTGGGCGAGGTGCTGCGCGGTCTGGCCACATGGGATGGCCCACAGAGCGTGTGTGCTGGTTTTCCCCGTGGAGTGAGTGGGTAACTGCTCTCAGAGCTCAGGGCTTCCCATGACAGGTGTCACTTCATATGTGTTGGGCACCAACCCCCAGGAGCCTGGATGACTGCCCACCCCGTGGCTCCTGCAGGGCCGGATCCTGAGCCTGACACTTATTCACAGCATGCTCACTGATTAGTTTTGCTTTGTGATATTTGCCTCTCTCTCATTTCCTGTCTGCTGCTTCGGGCAATATCTGCATCTCCTTGTCAATATTCAGTCATAGCTGGATCACCCAGCTTCTCAGACGGCGTGCAAAATAAGATGCCAGACAGAGGGGAAACCAAGATGGCACCTCGGCGGCAAGAATGAGGGCTTTTGGTCAAGGACTTAGGCCTGGATTTGACTGCAGAGCATGTGTGGCTTTTTTGAGACTGACCACCCTGGACCAGGCAGTAGAGATTCACAAATGAGCCTTCCAAATAAGACCTTGCTGTGTGTTCTTATTGATTCCGAGATAGTGCTGTGTGTGAGATCTTCTCAGAGCGGTTGCAACCGTTCTATGTGATTCCATGCCGGATGTTATGTTATATTATGTTTGGTAAATGAACATTTCCAGCTGGGCAGAAGCAGTGGGTTCTTAGCATCAGCACCATCTAATGTTATCAATGCAGTGTGACACCATTTATCATACACAGTCTTTATAAATGTCCGTATTTTGCACTGTGTGTGTGTGTTGATTTTCAGGAGAAATTGAAGTCAAGGTAACCTTTCTTTCACACATCTGGGATGCTTTAGTATAGTAGGCTATTTTGGAGCTGATAATGGCCCTCAGAGATCTTTAGGCTCATTTGTTTATTTTACAGCTGAGAAAACAGGCCCATGGAGAAGTGTAGTTGGAGTGAGAACCACATGCCCAGTGTGTCCATGTACTCACTGCTCTGAACACCAGGTGGTAGGCTAGCCCCATGTTCAGATCTCATGTCTGCACTCTTCCACCTGGGGGTGTGTGGCTGATTGGAAAGGCTGTGCAAAAAGCAGATTCCATACTCTTCTGAACATGTCTGCACTTGCAGCCCATTCCTTTCAGCATTTATGTATACCTAGGGATTCTTTGTTGTACACCAGCCATCTCCTCATCTCTGTAGTCTTGGCCATCTCCCACTGGGAACCCTTCTTTCCTTTAGTACATGTCACAGCTGTCACTTGGAATCCTTTCTGACTTGGAAGCTGATGGCAGTGTCACTAAGATGTACCTTTGTTGGCTGATTAAATCCTGGTCTTTACCAGATGGAGTGTTCCTTGGGACCAAGATTTTAGGTGCCTTTGTGTTTGCAGCACCTACTACATTGTCTGGCTCAGGCTGGCTGTTGGGTGGGGAGGGGCTTGTTGGTTAATTGGTTGCATAGATGGATGGATGGAGGGAAAAGAAGGGAAGGGAGGATATGGGAAATGAAGGGAGGGGAAAAGTGAAGCAAAGGATGGATGGTTGGGTTGGATGGGTAAGTGGTAGGATGGATGGACGAATGGATGGATGAATAGGTGAATGAACCCATAGGTGGATCGTTGGTTGAATAGATGGGTAGATGGATAGATAGGTGGTTCTATGGATGGATATATACATGGTGGATGGGTGTATGGTTGGTTGGATGGATGGATGGATGGATGAGCCCATAGGTGGATCGATGGTTGAGTACATAGGTAGATGGATAGATAGGTGGTTCTATGGATGTATATATGCATGGTGGATGGGTGAATGGATGGTTGGATGGATGGGTAAGTGGAGGGATTAAAAAAAGAGAAGGGGAATAGAGGAGGAGGAGATGCAGTGGAGAGGATAATGAAAGGAAAGGAAATGGGTGATGGATGGAATTTTGGTTGGATGGGAGAGTTGACGGGTGGATAGGTAGATCATGATTAGAGGGAGGGAGGGAGGGATGGATGGATGGACAGAGGTATATAGGTAGATGAATCCATGGGTGGATACTTGGTTGGATAGATGGGTAGATGGACAGATGCTTGGGTGCCTGGAAGGGTAGGTAGATAGGTAGATGAATCCTTAAGTGGATAGATGCAGGATGGGTGCTTCTGTGGATGGATAGATGAATGGTAGGTGGATGATTAGGTGGTTAAATGTCTGATTGGATAGATGTAAGGATGGATGGATGGTAGGTGGTTGTGTGGCTTATATTTCAGCTATGGAACCTGCAAACAATCCCTTCTTACTTCTTCTCTTTGATTTCCTTCTTCCAGGTCGTGGGCATCTTTGCTGGATTTGGGCTCCTGCTTCTGGTGGCTTCTCCCTTTCTGCTCCTGGCCACTCCCTTTGTACTCTGCTGCAAGTGCAAGTGCAGTAAAGGTGATGATGATCCACTACCCACCTAGAGAAAGAGGCTCCAAGAAGGAGACTCTGATTTCCAGAGAATGTGGCTCTCCCCCACCCCACCCCACTGTCTCCCTCTCACTAAGCATTTTTCTTGCCTTATGTGCTCCATTGAGCTTCACAGTGTCAGGTTGGATGCCGTGATTTCAGGGACCAATGTCAGAACGTTCAATAAGGCCTCGGCTGAGGTCACCTAGGCACGGGGGAGGCAAGGCAGACATGGTGGGCACACCCCACAGAATCAGCCTCTTTAGACCTGACCAGTGATGTGGGAAGAAGCACTCTAGGCAGTTTTCTCCCCATGGAGTGGACTAGGAGTGTCCAGTGGGGACTTAGGAGACCCTAACCAAGCGTGGTCCATCTCCTCTTGACTTCAAGATGGCACCATCCTGTTGGGAGAAGTCTTTTAAGGATCACAGCTCTCTTCAGATGGAATCCCATTACTCCAACTTGAGAAAAGCAATCTGTTTAGGACAACTGTTTTTATTCCTAATGGCATTTAGTAACATCCTTTTTAGAAGGCTTTTTTCTTTTCCGAACTGAGTAGTGAAAATCAACAAGGTGCATATAAACCATCCTATGCCTTTCTTGAAATGTACATTTTAAGAAGTTACAGTTAAATGACTTTTCTGGCTTGACCATTTTTCAGGAGATTAGAAAGCCTTATGCACTCTGTGTTTTTCTTGAAACTTGCTGTAATAACTTTTTGAATGCTGTAAGCTGTGTACTGTTATAAACACAGTTCCTGTATTTGTTGCATTTCTCTGAAAATATTGACATGCTTAAAGGAACATCTCAGCTAGATTTGCCTTTTATTCCTTCTTTGGTGATTCAGCTCATAAAGTTCATCCCTTCTCATCCAGGCAGCGGCAAATACTTTTTATTCATGTCTTCTAAGCAAGTGTTTTACTTGGATGCGGTTCTGCTCAGAATCACCATGGTTTAGCCTCTTGCCCCAGTTTTCAAGTCGTAAGAAGAGAATTGCATAATCTATCCTCAGACACAGGGCCTCCTGCCAGAGCCTGGGGGAATTTTGGACACCAGGCAGGAGTTTTCTGGATTTCCACATTTTTTAAATGCTTTACTTAATTTTGAAAAATCATGTGTCTCACACAGTTTCAAGTCCTCTAGCTGGCCAGTTTGCCCTTGCTGTGAAAAAAGAAAACCTTCCATTTCCCTTAATTGTTTTGAGGTGGGGATTTTACCTCTTGGACCTTTATAGGGTGGGTGGTGTGTGACTGTTTCCATGGTAATGGTGCACAGATCCATAGCAAGACACAAGTTGTTGCATCATTTGACTTCAAAAAGTGGAGCGAGTGTTTTCTTTACGGAGAATTGACTTCCAAAGCCAAGTGTACTTGTTGTGAGCAAAAGGAATATGTTTCAGGTTTATAACAGTAATTAAAAAACTTGAAAGTGACTACAAGGAAGTAAAACAAAAAAGTCCTTTTCTCTCATTTGCTCATTGGAAGCACATCTGGTTGTTTTTTTTTGTTTTAGTACCAGGGATCAAACTCAGGTCCTTGCTGGGTGGGCAAGTGGCAGAACCACTGAGCTAAATTCCCGGCCCTACAAGCACATCTTTAAAAGGTGGTTGTCTTGTGTGTGTGTGTGTGTGTGTGACTCCACATCCCTGTATTCAGCTCGGGCCCTCTTCTTCTCTATCTAGAAATTTCTTCTTTATTTCTTGACAGTGAACAGCTGCAAAGAAAGCGAACCACTTCTGTCTTCACCTCTAGTCCTGATTCTCTTCATGAAAGTAAAGTCATTTTGAAGATTAGCCCACATCAAAACTGTGTCCAGAGTTCTCCTTGTGATTGCAGTGTGAAAGTTGAGTAATAAGTAAGGTCGTGGCTGTGGCCGTCTTTCTGGGAGAAGCCCGGCCGTGGGCTTCTACACAGCTGGGGATGTTGGGATGGGTGACCAGCTTTGTGCCTTCCTCAGTGGTGGCTCTAGACCTCAGCCTGAAGTTCATAGATGTGGCCATCTGGCCACTGCCCTTTAAAATGCCTATCAAAGATGACAGGCCTGTGGCCCTTGGCCCTATTTCCAGGGGCCCAAGGGCAGGTCTGCATGATGCCCAGCCCCTCCAGTCCAGTGCCTGAAGCCATACCGTAGTCCTTGCCCTTGGGCTGGGAGGAAGAGCCTCGGAAGGTTTCGTCTCCAGGGCAGCAGCTCCAGTACCCTCACTCCCAGAGGGCCAGGGTGTCCTTTTGTCTCGGGGGAGTCTCTGGCCTGACCATGCACACCTGTAGCCCCAAGCATCCTTGTGCCTTCACCTGTGACATGTTTTGCAAATGCACGGTTTGACCCAGGTAGGGACCACAGCAGTTTGGGGACAGCTGGGACCATCAATTGGGCACTGCCAGCTATGAACTTCCGTGTCAAGCACACCTCCATCTGCTCAGTGTGACTTAGTAATAAAATTAAAACTGCCCCTTCCCTCTATAGACAGCAGGATCCCACTGCGATGTGTATACTTTCATTCTCTGGTTGGCCTCCTTGGGTTTAGAATGCCATGTCCGTTTGTTTCCGGGATGCAGTCCTAGCCATGCTTGGTGTAAAATGCAAATAGAAGTTGGGAAGGAGAGCTTTGGTCCCACTGTCTCTCCCCAGTGAGACCAGGGGAGTTCTAGATTCAGTAGATAGACTTGTTCCTGTTTGCCAGCATGGTTTCTTCAAGTGAAAGGTAAAGTTGGTTTTGTTAGGTGCTTTACACTTGGATGGCCAGAAGCACTTGATGGCCACTCATTTAGAGCCTGTTAAGCCCTGGGGACGGGGAGAGACCCCTGACGCAGCCATTGTGCTGCAGGGTTGACCAGCTGAGGATCTTAGAGGAAGTAGAGGACATAGATGACCCAGCAGTTATCTGAGGCCCTTTGGCAAGTGGCCCTGTTGCCAGGTTTCACCGGATGTGCCTGATCCTGTGACCCAGCCATCTGGGCTTTGCACCTCACAAGGGGCTACTGGATTGAAAGACAGTCATTGTTGATGCTGTGGACCAGAGATAAACTGGCGCCCAAGCTAAGCCTGGCACCACATAAATTACTGTGGACATCAGCTCTCCCTCCAGAGCTCCCTGGAGGTGCTCGGGCCAAGGAACTGGCATCTGTCACCTCTGCACCTGTTTCAAGAGGAACAAATTGTGCAGCATGTTACTCCTTAAAACTAACTTGGATTGGGCATGGTGGCACACTATAATCCCAGCACTTAGGAGGCTGAGGTAGGAGGATTACTGTGAGTTTGAGGCCAGCCCGGGATACATAGTGAGTTGAAGGCCAGCCTGAACTACATAGCAAGAACCTGTCTCAACAAATAAACAAACACAATGAATGAACAAACAAAAAAACAACAACAAAAATCCTGGCTTGGGACCCATGCCAATAATTCCTGACAAGAACACAGGGTCCCTTGTGGGGTGAGGGTTTGCCAGAGACACAAAAATGACATCAGGATGAGTTTTATCCTTTTCACTTCTGTTATTAAAGGAAAAAGTTATTAACAATTAGAAAAGAAAAAATTTTCTCTTGGTAGTCTTTAAAAATGAGGGGATTGGAGAGAACCAGGGTGGGCTTTTGGGATATTTCGCAGATCCCCACTTATTAACCAACACACCGGTGTATATTTATCTCTGTAAATCATAAACCGTGGAGGGAAAATATTTTGCATGTATACAGCTTCATGAAAGGCTCTTAAGAAAATACCAAAGCTTGTTTCTTCCTTATAATCAACCTAAGCCCTTACGAAAATACATAAAACAAAGAGATTTAATGGATTATTGTCAGAGGCCCCAAACGAAGCAGAGTGGGCTACACTGAGGTCATTGCTACTGCATCACAGCCAGGACACATGCTGTTTTATATTTCGGTCCCAGGGCCTCTCTCTAATTTGTGTCATCTCGTCTCCCACCATTGTAGGAGCCTTCAGGTAGGGTAGCTACGTCTTTATTTCTCTTCTTTGCCCACTTGGCTATGGGTGTATTTTAATCTTGTATAAAAATATGCATGCAAGAGTCATGCACACCTAAACATTATGTATTTGACATGTGGCGATCGAACAAAAACAGCGAATTCATTTTCGTGTCTTTTGCAACGTCAGTCTGTTTCGTGCCACCGACACTGTGATGTACAAAAGCCCTGTTTGAATGCCTTTTTCTTGTTGCATTTTGTACTTTGGAATTCCACAGAAATGTCTGACTTGTAATTTCAATACACATTTTAAATGTATTGCGTCTTAGGTAGTCTGTTCCCCTTTCAAAGGGATTTGTTTTTAAAGATACTTTGGCTGGAATATAGGTGACTTTTGTAAATCCTTCTCAGCTCCTCTTTTGTAAAGATTGGGTGTGGGGGATGAAGGAGGAGGGCATGGAGGGCCCTTGTGCCCCTGCGTGCACCCAGTTCATCTGTGGAGTTTTTCTCCCTCGGTGGTGGTGGTGGGGTCTCACCTCACCGAGGCAGAAATGATTTGACCTGGACCATTGAGTAAGTGAGCATGTCTGGCCACACCCCGGCTGTTTCCTGTGTTGCCCAACCAGGGAGCCTCCTGCATCCACAAGGACAACTACCAGACCACCCTGCCGCCTTTGACTAGCAGCATCCTACAAGCCAGCATCTTTTTCTGCTGGAGGAGAGAAAGCAGAATAAATATGGATACTTCTGATTCACTAAGAAATACAATCATTATTCGGTATCCGCAGGGCGTGGGATCCAGGAACCGTCTCAGATTCCATACTCTGCAGTCCTTTGTCTAAAATGATGCATTGTTAGCACACAGTGCACACACATCTCCCTTATACTTTCTGCCATCTGTAGATTACTCATAAAACCTAATACAATGTAAATGCTATGCAAATAGTTGGAGATATTTTGTTCCTTTTTTTGGTGAAATAGTTGCTATTATTTTGGGAATAAACACAAGAAAGAAAGTTGCACATTCAGCACAGAAGTGCTTTGGGTTTTTTTGCTGGATATTTTCAATCTGCTGACACAGAACCTGAAGATAAAGAGAACCTGCCAACTCCAACAGTGACCTGAAGATGAGAGCATTTCACCTTGATTTTCATCTGCCTCATCTACATTTGATGAAAGAATGTAGAACTCATTCATTAACATGAAACTGAAGGCCAGAATAGGCAAGGATTTACCCCTCAGTGGGAAAGATTACTAAACCCAAGAAGGAGGGAGGAAGGAAGGAAGACAGGATTTAGTAAGTTGCCCAAAGCCACCAAACAGCATAATAGCAAGAGCTTGACAATAATGCTCAGCAGGGCCTCCCTGGAGGAAGGTGTCAGCCAGGTTGGGCTGGGGCTCTGCCTTGCTTGGACTTAGAGGGATGAACCACACCATAAGCATCTTTCCTACTATGTTTCCATGACAGCAAAGCTCTCCATAGGAAAGGTCACTTTGGAAGTGGACAGTCCCCACAATGTGTGATACACTATGAGGTATTCCTAAAAAATAAAATGAATGACTTAATTTTTAAAAATACTGCAGTAAGAGACACAGTGCTATGAATCCCCCTCAAAATATTCCCTCATTTCAAACACACTCATTCCATGGTTCTTGCCACTTTCTGCAGCAGCTCTGGAGTCCTCTTTCCTGAGGGTCTTTAGCTGCACTGTCCTGGCTGCCTCGATGTCCTGAATGGATTCAAAACGTGTCCCTTTCATGGTCATTGTGACTTTGAGGAAAAGCCAGGAGTCACACGGTGCCAGATCTGGTGACTAAGGTGGAGGAGAACACAGTGTCATGTTTTTAATTGACAAATTGCTGTAAGCATTTGATCAACAAGGGGTGTTCAAAAAAATACAGTGAATGTTTTAAGTAAGATAATTTATTACAGTAAAAACCACATTGCCATTAATTCCCTCAAAATACTTTCCTTTGGCTGGAACTCAGTCCATCATTTTTCACAATGTGTGTTTTACTCTTAATAATTAAAAATTTTAAACATTCTGGGTATTTTTCAATCATGCCTCATAAAAATGAGCCAGAGTGGAACTGAAAATCATAGACATAAATGATGGCAAAACCCAAACCCGCTGAGCCTATTGTGGAAGACACTGACTAAGCTAAGGTCAAGTGTGAATGCAGATGATTGGATGTCCTTGGCACTGCAATGAAAAGATACACAGAGCTTCTCTCCCCTGGGCTCCCAGAGCTTAGGGTGTAGATGGGGGTGGGCAGTATGGAAAGCCCCACTGCTGGATGGGAGCACATGGAGAGAGGTTCTTGGGAGTAGAGGAGGGCATGGAAAGCACTTGGAGGAGCAGGCTGCGCCCAGTGGATGGTGTGGAGGGGTTGGTACTGGAATACAGGACCTTTTGACCCACAGGTGGTAGAAGACCAGGCCAATATCACCAAGACTCACACTTCCATGCAGGCCAGGCTTGCTTTGGGGGCCTGCAGCTGAATGGAATCAGCAGTTGGTCGAGAGGCGCCAAGCTGCTCAGGGAACAGAGTGTTAGGCTTTTGTTGATTTGCTGGGGTGGGCTGGTCTAGTGCTTCCCACCGGCTAAGGGCACGGTTCCAAAGGATGGCTCTTCTGAGGGACTTGGCCCCTGGCTGGTCTCGAGGCAGGAGGTGACTAAGGAAAAGGCTGGGGGAAGAAGGGGTCAGCGCACTTTGGAGCCCACTGTCTTGGCAGGTCTGAGGCATCAGGGAGCCAAGGATGTGGCTGGGAAAGGAGGGAGGGCCTGCCTTGCAGGCCACTTCCTGGGTCTGGATCCACCTTCTAAGTTAGATGTTAGCCCCGGACCAGGATGCCCAGAGCTAAACTCCACAGAAAAGGTAAGGGCTAACTCACCAAGTTCATAGCAAGGCCCAGGCAGGCACCCAGTGGTCTTCTGCAGCCTTGGATGACCCAGCCCTAATTACCGTGTCACTGACTATGCAGATTTGACTTCTGTGGAATGTGGGCTTCATGACAGTTCCTCCTAGGGCCATGAAAGGTTGCAAACTCCACTGCTTGACAGAGGGTCTGAGCTAAGCTGCTCATGGGCAGGAGTCAAACCTCAGACCAACCCCTCCATCCCACCCCAAACCCTAGGGCTTCAAACCCTCAGCTCCAAGCCCTCCTGGTACCCTAAACTTGGAAACTGTTGTTCTCGTCACTGGCACTCCCACCCTGTGGAGTGGGTCTTCTTTTTCTCTTTAATATAATTCATCGATCCTGCTGCCACTCTTGGATGTCCTGCTCTTGTTTGTTTAGGACATCTGGAACCTGGATGAGCCCTCACTCTGGTGACAGTCACAGTCCACAGTCCTGGCGGCTACTCAATCTTGGTGTAGCTGCTGTCATTGTCATTGTCCTGCATCCACATCTGGCCCTGTGGATCTGCACCCTAAGATGGGGCTACAGGACTTCTGGTGCTTGAGATTCCTTGGCTTCTGAAAAGCTACAAGGCTAAGGGACAGAAAAGAGGGGAGAGAGAAAGGAAAAGAAAATACATGCTACTCCAGTGGGCAGTAACCAATTGCCCTGTGATATAGTCTGGAACAAAACCTACTGAATGATCAGCATGTCTCTGTGCAGAGTGGAGTAGAGTTGGCCCATGGTTAAGGCAGCAGAGGAGATGGACACAATGTGAAAACAGAGTTGCCTTGCATCCCACCAGACCTCGCTGAGCTCATGAGAGGCCAATATTTGTAGTACAAGTGGCCCCTGGCTCTCCCAGAAGTAACCCAGTAACTGTTTTCGGGACCCACATATCAGACTGTATCATTGGCTGTGTGACCTCCAAACCAGGTGATTTCTATGCTGACTAAGAATGAGGGAGGCTAGAGGGCTTATTTGGGATTTTTCTTGGACACAGTCGCTCCTGTCCTGAGAACACTCAGCTTCCGTGGGTCCATCACGGTCTTGTGATGAGTCTGTTGGAACAAGCCAGGCTTCCCAGGGAACCATTGACTGTGCCCAAGGCTGTGTTCTGTTCCCCTCACCTCTGTGTCACCATAGTGTTCTCTAAGTGAATCAAAATGAGTAGCACAAGGGGTGATCAAAATAGACGATGAATGTTTAAATTTTAAAAGTATTACAGTAAAATACACATTGCTGTCAATCACCTTCAAAATCCTCCCCTCTCATCTTTGAACACACTCATCCCATCATCTTTGCCATTTTCTGCCACAGTTCCTGCAGTCCTCTTTCCTGAGGGTCTTTACTAGGTGTAACGGCCGCCAAACACCATCCAACACAAAGGCAGCTCATAAAAACACGATGCTGTGTCCCCACCCACCTTAGTCATCTGATCCAGCGCCGTGCACCTTCTGGCTCTTCCTCATAGTCAAGATGACCATGAAAGGGAGATGTTCTGAATCCATTCAGGACATAGAGTCAGCCAGAACAGCGCAGCTGAAAAAAGACACTGGTACTTCTTGTGGAGTATGGAGGTAAGAGATTGGCAATGCAGGTATGAGGAGGTAGTGTTTTCAGAATAATTGCACAGTGGCTGGATATAGTTAGTCCTCCATCAATATGTATTGCTTGAGTGAACAAATAAATAATCATTCATATGGTTGCAGTCCAGGGATGAGGTGAAATCAGCAGGACATAAATTTTCAGTCAATCCTAGGGGCAATAGAGGAGAGATGGCTGATTAGGAAGAGAACCTCTGAAGAATTTTTCCCTGATTCAGCTGAGCCCAAACGATCCTGAATTCTGACTACCGTGGAGTCCTCAGAGGACGGAAAGAACAAAGACTCAACTGTGCTCGCTCTCTGGGGGAAAACTTTGCAGGGACCAGAAAATGCGGTCCCAGCTAGAGCTGAATCTGATTCTCTATGCTACACAACTTCTATTGCATTGTTGGTGCACAAGGAATGTTAAATAATAATTTCACGTTTTTATTAATGACAAAGGAGCAATCAGTATGTTAATGAAACTTGCCCATGATACTAAACTGGGATTTATTACAGTGCCACTCAGGCAAGGCAGACAATGGAGATGGACAAAGAAGAGGGAAATTTACAACAGCAAGTTTCCGTTCTGCAAAATACAATCAAATGCACCTGCCAGAAAATGCCTATGGGGACACCAGGAAGCCAGGCAACATAGGCTGAAGGGAAATCCAGTCCTCAGGTGACAGAGTTTGGAAGTGCCAGGCAGGACACTGATTGCTGGACAATCTGCCCTGTGTTCCTTCCTGTTGGAAATGCATTCTGTCCAGGTATGGTGCACACACTGGTCATCCCAGCACTTGGGAGGCTGAGGCAGGAGGATTGCTGCCAGTTCAAGGCCAGCCTGGATTATATAGCGAGTTCAAGTCCAGCCTGAACTACTTAGTGAGGCCCTGTCTCAAAAATAAATAAATAAATAAATTTAAAATGCACCCAACACAAAGTCCCCTCTCTGTGGTTGCATATTGGAGGCCAGAGGTGGGCGAGAGCTCTCTCTGGCCGGGGTTTGAATCTGGTTCTGTATCCCTGGGTGCTTGCAGGCATCTTCCCCACCTGTCTTCCTGCTTCCTCTCTGCTCTGCTCGAACCAGCTCACCTGTGATGAGCTCTACCCATGAGAGATGCTTCTCCTACAAACCAGTGATTGCTTGTGTGGTGAGAGCGAATTCTGCCCATGACCTCAATGTCCTTTCCCCCGGTGCCCCCTGCGTTTCTCCGCCTTCTCCCCCAGGGACACAGCTTCACCACTCCTGTCCCTGGCAGGTGTGACCCCAAGCCCTGTGGGCAGAGCCACGGCTGCAGTCAGGACAGCTGGGCTGGGACACAATGCTTCCCTGCTGCTGTGCACTTCTGAAAATACAAAACCCCTTCTGTCTTTTTCCTCCTTACAAGTCTCTCTCAATCTCTCTCTTTTTTTTGGGGGGGGGTGGTTTTTTTTGGTTTTGAGATAGGGTCTCACCATACAGTTCAGGCCGGTCTTGAACTCACTATGTAGCCAAAGCTGGACTTGAATTCACAGTGATCCTCCTGCCTCAGCCTCC